TCTCACTTTAACTCCCCCAAACTATTTAATTATAAGCATGCTTTGCTCCAGGTGTTTGCGACAATGAAATTGCTAAATGAGGACCATTTTAACCAAAGATTGGGTGATCAATAACACTCTATAGCAGTAGCTTGTCGGATCAATAGCATTCATTATTTCATGGTTAAGGTAAGTAGCCTCCTTTGCAAGCGGAGGTCATTAATCAGTGCTTACTGGACCTGCAGAAAGGCTTGTGTAGGAGTCTATTTTGTGTTCAGCCCTGAAGTGTAAAAGGGTTGGTGAAGAGGATGAGATCTGTGAAAGTTCGTTCCAGTAAAACACTGGCAGTAATGTGTATGTATAAGGAACTGAAGAGCTCTCAGTACAACAGGATGCTTAAAGTACTGTTAATGTGATCTGGAATCTTGACTTAATGCTTTATCCTTTCTCAGGCACCTTTCCTCTGAGGATGCTAAAAACCTTATGAAGCAGTCACTCAATCCTCGCATCTGCTGCTTGTGAGGACTATTAATCCAGGCTTTCAAAAGGGAAAGCAGACATGCTAAGAGATTTGCCCAGGGTCATACAGTGAGTTGGTAGGAGAGCTAGGAGTGAAATGAATGGTTCTCAGTCCTTGGCCTTAATTGCTATGGTGTATATGTGGGAGGGTGAATGGATGGCCAAACTTTGTAATGGATTGATTTGGAATTTGATATTAACTTACATACTCAAATGTGGGAATGATGTACAGCCTGTTTATCCTTTAAGTTTGAATGGCCTTTATACAGCGATGAAGATGTGGAGTTTGTAGATATCCAGCACGATGAGTTGATTTGGCTACGCTTTAGAGTGTATTTTCTAGGAGCAATAATGTGCTCACAAAATGGGGTTTTATGATGTGCCTGCAGTTCTTTGGGGTGATGTAACTTGTGATCCCTCATCCTTCAGCCTTTTGAATCAAGGGGTATCCAGTTGATAGTCGTGTCTAGTATGAGCCAATTTCCCTGGCAAAGAAGGGATCCAGAGATGCTTTCTAGCCCTGTTCTGAGATTGATTCTAGTGCTGAGTTAAACCTGATGTTCACATCTAAGGCCGTAGTGCTAAGGGGGTAGGCAGTAAGTAGTTTCTGCTTGTTCTGAGATCTCCCAGCTAAATCAGAGGAAGTGTTGCCCGAAGTGTCCAAGGATTGATTTAATATCACCATTAAAGCCATCAGATGCTTGGGACTGACCTGAGCACATACTTCTGCTACAAATATTCATCCAGCTTTACAGTCAATTGATGGCTTTCTACACATGAATTTCTAGTTTAATTCTTTGGTTCAGGAATTAAGTCTCCTGTAACTTCTTCAGCAAACGCAGAGCATGCTGTAACGAGGTTACATTCAGCAGCACCAAGTCATGCTGTGCTAAAGTATTTGGCTGAAAAATTGTGAATGTAGCAGTTGCTCTTCCCTCCAAATAAAATAAAAGTTGCTGTAGATTGAAGGGGGGGGGGCTATGTAACTGTATAACATTTTTGAGAAAAAGGAATCTGAAGTAGAAAACTTCAGAGGATTTTGAGTAGCTGTTAAGTGACCCAAGGACAGAGTTTTTAACTGCACTTAATTTCCTAGTGAGTATTCCAGGCAGTGTCATAGTTGGGTTATTAACTCTGGTACCGGAGGCAAATACCATTGTATTAATTACTTTTTGATAACTTAGAACTAGACTAGATACAGGATTCTACTCTTTTTCAAGTGATGCAGCATTGCTAGGTTTTAACTGAAAGCAATTATGTCCTGTGCTAGAGCCAGCCATGTGTCTGAAATGCAATTTCTGTGAGATATGTAAAGCATTTTTGGCTCAGAGAAGTAAAGTGTAGTAAAGTGTTTATTGGTTTATATTTGCCACAATTGTAACAATGGGGTTTTTTGTTTTTGTTCCAGTGAAACCAGCAGCGTATGCAGCAGCAGTGATACTGGCCTGTTCACCAATGATGAGGGCCGCCAAGGTAACAACTGTCCTGTGATTTTCCTCCTGTGTGGCTGGGGAATTTCTCTTGCTTTACAAATGCAAAGAAAGATCTGTGTTTGAAGAGGGACAGAGAGGGAAGTGTGGGAGAAAGTCTAATGGCTGGGAGTGGGAGTTAAGGGCTACTAAGGTGTGATTTTGGTAACGGTATACTCTTCCTGCTGAAATACTTTGCGTATCAGATCCATAACATTTGAGATATAAGAATCTATTGTTATGGAAGGGCACAGAAATCCAAGAGGAGTTTTGGAGTTCTCTGTAACAAAAGAGCAGAGCTTATGATTTGTTTCTATGGGTTTTTTAATTGTTGTCTACATACCATTAGTGCCTGGATCTATTAGTTGTTTTTTTTTATGGATAGGAAGAGATGATGTGAAAAAAAAAAAAAAAATCATTTAGTACTGACAAGTCCCCTAACAGGCTGTGCTAAGAAGACAATGGGAAATATGTGATGGGTTTTATTTCTTTAAGTACACATTCCTCCCTTGCTCTGGTGTGCATTAGCTGAGCCGAGTATTTTCAATCTCTGTTGTAGAAATGGTTGGAGTGTGGAATGTAATCTGGTTTTATTTATCATTGACAGCTCAGTGTCCAGTTTATGGGGGATATGGCAGAAATAAGTGTGAAAGAGGTTGTAGTAGGCACATAGGCACTCAGGACTATTACATTTGGAGCAGGTGGAATGTGACCCTAGAGACCTGTAATTCTGTGCAGCTTCTGGTGGTGTGCACTCTGATTCTGTCACATTTCACAAGCTAAGGCTTGGATGAGGTCTCTTCTGGGAATATATGAGTGCTAAAGGAAGTAGTATCAGTAACTCAGTAGGAAATGCTGCTTCTGCTGGCTTGTTACTGACCCAGGAATCTGTGTGCGAGGCAACATGATGATAGCAAATATGCTTATGTGTCTTCTGATGATATGCTGGGCTGTAGGGCTGATCTGTTGTGATCTTAGGTGGCTGTAATACTTTCCCTAAGAGTAAGGATTTCTAATATCAGCTTTGACCTTTGCTAAAAAACAACTGTTTCCAGCTTCCCATCCTTCAAAAGCAATAGAAAAATAAAATCTTTTCTCCTGTCTTTTTACTGATGACTGTTCTGGGGGAGCTGAAATTAGTGATGACTTGCATATCAGATGACGAAGCAGGGTGGTGACTGAAGTGTTGAATTTTTACTTCATCACCCAAGGCAAGATTGATGTAGACTGGATAAGTGTGTGTATATATACACACACAGATATATATATATATATACACACACACACACACTTGTCTATATGCTTGCCCTATATACTTGCCCTGGTTTTATAACCTGTTTTAGACATTAACTTTTGGCTGCTGCTAGAAGTAGGATACCTGGTATACAAGAACATGTAAAATATACTACTTAAATTAATAAAATCCAATTTTAGCCTTCCTTGTCTAGGTACTGGAAGAGATTTGACATCCTAGTTCAAACAGTTAATGCTATAATAGCTTTCTGCCCAAGATGTTTTAGCTTACAGTTATGTAAAAACGGGTTTAAAAACTGTTGTTGCACTTTCAGGTTAAATAAGAAACATCTCCCTTTTCTTTTTTTAGACAATTTCAAGTCCTAAAGTAAATAAACAATAACTCTTCATTTCAGAGAGGTGGAGAGAGCACAAACTGAATAATGGGAAATTTAAGATAACATTGTACTTAAATTGAATGTGTTATTTTTTGCCCTTTCTTTTGAGGTTATGCCATGTAATACGTTGCTGTTGCTAATTAAATAGGTTGTCTTTGCAATTCCAGCTACCAGTGCACTTCTGTGAGCAGACAATGATCCTAGTTTATAATTTGATTGTACATTGTTTTTTTTTGTTAAATGCATTGGATCTCTCATGGTGAAAGTTACTGTGATATTAGCATATGATCCTGATTGTTAAAATTTGTTTTGTGAAAATAGTGATTTGAGGTATGACAGCGCACTAGGCTCATAGATCCAGAACTGAAGGGATATTTTTTCACAAATAATGATAATATAGCAGAACTATCCAACATTGCTTCACCGGGGGTGAGGGTGTTTCTGAGCCCCGGTAAAGAAGGTGTGTGTGTTTGTGTGGGGGAGAAATCCCACCGCTGCAAGGCACGGGTGGGGAGAAGGGAGGTCGTGAGGTGAGGGGTTTGGGTAGGGCTTCGGTGTTGGCTCCCTGACAGCCCTGCGGGGGAAGAGGTGGGATTATTTTTGGGCTCGGTCTCATACACCCCGTCCTAAGGAGCACAGAGTCCCACGCGCTTTGTTTTGCCGTTGAAATGCTGCTGGCTGGCAAACTACCTGTTTTACCATGTGTTTTCCTCTCAGCTTTGCTGCTTGTCTACTTTTTGGAAGACTCTGTCTGTTTGCCGAGCAGGCTGACCCTTCTCTGTAGCTTACCGACACGCAGTAGCAAACTAGTTACAGACTCTCATGCCCTTAAGATGTGTAATAGACTGTGTTACTTCAGCACAAAAGATGCAACCTTAAGGCCTTTTCAGACACAGAGCACTTGGTCGAACTGCTAGTGAGATCGCTGCTGCCATGGTTAGAAGAGGGATTTAACCCTTGCTCAAGGAAGGAGTGAGTGTTAGTGCAAGAAGCAGCACTTGTCATACATTGGGTTCTTCCAGGCAGCTCCAAAGTAAGTATGGAACTTGGTTAATGCTTCAAAGGCTATAGCACGCTGTAGCCTAGTGATTTGCTGGTGTGGTGGGTTGACCCTGGCTGGACACGAGTTGCCCACCAAAGCTGTGTCCCTCACGTGTTCTCACTCCTCGTTCTCGCTGCAGTTACAGAGGGTATTTTTTCCCCCATTCTTAAAAAGGCACTGCCACCGTCACTGATGGTCTTGGCCCTGGCCAGTGGTGGGTCCATCTTGCCACTGACTGTCATTGGCTCCATTGACAGAGGGGAAATTTCTCATAGCTACTCACAGAAGCCACCCCTGTAGCCTCCCCACTACCAAAACCTTGTCACGCAAATCCAATGCAGTCGGTAGTGGCATTTGTATCTGGTGCTAATTGTTGTCATTTTCAGTAGGCTTTGCCAATGGATGAACTGGTGCATGACTTGGCCTCAGCCTTAGAGCAGACTTCAGAACAAAACAAGCTGGATGAGCTATGGGAAGAGATGGCTCTAAGCCCACGGCAGCAGCGGCGTCAGCTTCGCAAGAGACGGGGCCGTAAACGACGCTCAGACTTCACGCATCAGGCAGAGCATGCCTGCTGCTACAGCGAGGCCTCAGAGTCAAGCTTGGACGAAGCTGTCAAGGATTGCCGTGAGGTGCTGACAGCCAATTTCAGTGACTCTGATGACATGGCAGTAGTCAAACGACACCCAGCTCTCAGTGCCACCCTGAGGAGCAAGCAACACTCGTGGCATGAGTCAGACTCCTTTACAGAGAACGCACCCTGTCGACCTCTCAGGCGCCGGCGGAAAGTCAAACGTGTGACATCGGAGGTGGCTGCCAGTCTCCAGCAAAAGCTCAGGGTGTCAGAGTGGAACTACGAGAGGGGCTGCAGATTCAAGTCAGCCAAGAAACAGCGTCTTTCACGCTGGAAAGAAAATACCCCTTGGACATCATCTGGTCATGGCCTTTGTGAATCAGGAGAGAACAGGCCCTTCCTCAGCAAAGGGGGAAGGAAGGAGCGAATGGAGTGTGAAACTGATGAACAGAAACAGGGCTCAGATGAAAATATGTCAGAATGGTGAGATCTCAGTTTCTTTCGTGTGCTAGTCAGATGGCTATCCTGCTTGCAGCTGCTTGTAAATTCTGTGCCTTGCCTTTAGGAGTTCTTATCAAAATTATTCAGTGCTGTTCTCTTTTTGAAGAGGAGAAACATCTCAGCTACTTCTAAACTGTAGATTTTTTCCAAGTCTTTCCTGTCAATGCCATACTGATAACCCAAAACACTTCCTTGAAAAGTTGGCAAGCCAATATGTTTCTAGATTCTGTTACACAAGGACCCCTCTGAAATGTCTGTGGCCCTGCAGCTACAAAGTGGCACGCTTGTGGCCTGAGGTTTGGAGAGTAAATCCACCGTTGGCACTTGTGTGATTGTTATGAACTGATCTCAGTTTCTTGTTTTCAGAATTTACCATCACTAGTAATAGAGAACAGACAGATCTCCCTTTGTGACCTCTGTGCAGGTTACTGTGTGATCCTCAGTCAAAACATCTTGTTTGCAGTTCTGCATCTCTGCTCTGGGTCTGTAATAAGGTCCTGAAAGGCTAGCTATGGGGAAAATGTAGTGAGACGATAAAGAAGTTGAAGGAAACTGAATTAATACTTACAGGATAAGCCTGTGCAAACAGAGGAGGCTGGCATATCTCCGTGTCCAGTTTTGGAGAACTCTGGTGAATTTGTGACAGAATCTGATACAGGAGATGAAAATGAGAAGTGTAGATGTCATGGTCTGAATTTGTTTGTTCGTCACTCTTGGGAAGTTTTGCCCTTGAGTGTGACTTTTATTCTCTCCATAGAAGGTCTGGGTTATAAAACGGCTTCTGTATGAAGAGATTTTTCAGGTTAGAAAAGAAACAACTGGTGAGAATCAAATGGAGGAGATTTCTTAATGAATGGCATGAAGAAAGTGAATGGGCTTGTTTATTTGCTAGTTATCATTGTGTAGGAAGCAGGAGACTTTGAGGAAACATTTAAAACAAAACAAAAAAATTATTTTTCATAAAACATGGAGTTTGGAACTCTGCTGTGGGACATCTTGGAGGTCTAAAATTTAAATGTGTCCCAAAGGGGGATGTGGAGCGTAGATCTATCAGGGGCTGTTCGGCATTACAGCCCAGATGGAAGATCTGGCTCAGGAAGTCCTTAACCTGCTGACTGCTAGAAGCTGGAGGAATGTACATAGGAAATAGTCTGTATTTGTCATGTTCTCATATTCTTTCCTAAAGTGCCCACCATAATAGGCACTATCAGACAGAGGACAGTGGATTTGGAAAGTATAATCGTTTGATACAATACAATTGTTCCTATGTTAAGTTTTATTTAAGTGTTCTGGCTCCTGCGGTTTGTCAGAGTGAACAAGTAGCACTTGATTATTGAGGGTTTTGTGGATAATAGCTGGAAGTCCAGACTTCTCAGTGGTATTTTCTAGGAGACACTGAGAAGCATAGGTTGTAATATGCCCTCACTGTCCTGATCCCCTGATAGGGGGACTGCTACAGGAGACCACCTTCCCCCTGATAGGAGGTTGCTGTTGCATTTTGACTGAATTTGTGTGGTTTATATGCAACTCTTACGGGGTGGAAGTAGCAAAAAAGTAGTAATTTTTTTTTCCTTAAAAAGTGGGTGCAAAGCAGGCCTTTTTAAGAGACTGGTGGATGCCTTTTTGCTACTAGATGTTAAAAGCACTTTTTTCAGAGCTATTTGCTGGTAGTCCAGGAAAGGGAATGTGCTGAGTAGCCCCTGAATGTTGCGTGTCAGTGGTGATGGACTGAGAGATACCCTTACTTGATGTGGCAGTGATGGACAGTGTTCCTTGAGGTTTTTTTTTCCACCAGAGTCTGTTCCATCATGTCAAACTTGAACTTAAACCAGCAGGCTTTCATCCAGCCTTTATTTGTGCCAGCCTTTGAAAGAGTAAATAAACAGCTTTGCCTGGACTGTTACTTGAGGACCATGCTGGGAGATTGCTTTGTTCTGTCTCAGTTGTCCCTTGCTCTCAAACTAATTATTGTGCAAGTGTCTGCATCAAATGACATTTACCGTCTGCTGCCAAATCCTTGTGATTCTCTTTGGAAAGCAAGGGGTTGAAATATTTGACCTCTCCAACACCATGTGTGGGATCTGTGCTATGACTCACTAGGGAGGGTCAAAGTTGGACAGAGAAATACATACAGCCCTCTTCACTGCAGTGTATCCCTCGCAGCAGCGAAGGATCGTGCTTTGGTCTCTGCTGCTCTAAATATAGCACTTTGCTGCTAGCAGCAGAGTGAAACTGGCTGTGCTTACCTCACTCTGCTCCAGCTGTTTTTTTCTGGTACTGTAGGAGAAGTACCTTGCACAGATGTATAACAAGGGCATATCCTGAGGAAGGGAGAAGAAAATTGGATGCCTAGGAGAGAGAATGGTATGGTTGTCATCACAAGCCGATGGGAGGGAAAGTGACTAATGCAGGTTGTAGGACTTGGAAGAAGTCTGTGGTAATCTAGTGATTATGAAACACTTTGATACTGAATTGGTTCCACTACTGTTTACTCATCTAGTAGTGGGGAGTGTCACAAAGCTAAGTGGTTTTAGGCAAAATAAATTGTATATTTAGAACTTTTTTTTTTTAACCCTCTTATTCTTCCCGTCCACTGACACTTGCTTTTCTTTGTTATGTAGGAGTGCATCTCTGTAACTGCTGAAATATCCAGCATTTTCCCTCTTTATAGGAGACTCCTCATCCTAAGTCAGATCAAAACCCCACTCCCATTCACTGAGAAAGTTTTGGATATGGATCCTTAATGAGGAGGTAGTTTTTATAGCTTGCTTCTGGGAGTGCACCCAGTCTTTTCCTGGAGGAAGATACGCTGCAGGATTGTGATTCAAAGTGTGCATGAAATGAAATCTTTGAAATGTTTGCCAGACATGGCAAGAGATGAACACAAATTAAGACAAGGAAGGATGTGCAGGAATTCGATGAGGGAAATGATGATGGTTCTAAATTAGGTAATGACATGACTCAAAGCCTGATATATAGTTGATTGTGGAAACAACAGAGGAAGCAAGTGATCTTAGTTAAGTAGCCATCGGTATATTTGTACAAAGGAGACAATTAACTACTAAGACTGTTAGAAGTAGTGTGTCCTTCTGTCCCTTAATGCTTTGAGATTCCCTGCAGCCATAATAAAGCAAAGGCAAATTATATATTGAGTGCTGAAGTTCTTTCTCTTTCTGGTCTAAACTGAGTACTCCCAGAATGGTCTGGGTTTGGCTTGAGGGCGGAACAAATGGTAGCACAAGAGCTGTCTGAAAAATCACTTTGAATGATGTGCTTACTAGTGAGAGATGTGCAGTTTGTCTAATCCACTCTCAAGTGCCATAACTCGTAATGTGACTTTTTCGAACTGGGGATTGTCCTGATCCAGCAGTGTGTGTGACTTCAGTGGCTTGATGCTGATGTATTTGTTGTGGTTTGATCCAGATAGGCAGCTCAGCCCCACACAGCCACCCGCTCACTCCCTCATGGTGGCGGGAGGGAGAGAATCAGAAAAGTGAGAAAACTTGTGGTCGAGATAAAGTCAGTGTAATAGGTAAAGCAGAAGCTATGTGTGCTAGCAAAGGAATTCATTCACTACATCCCATCGGCAGGTAAATGCGTAGCCATTTCCAGGAAAGCAGGGCCTCCATCATGTGTAACAGTTGCTTTGGAAGAAAAATGCTGTAGCTCCAAATGTTCTGCCCCTTCCTCCGTATTTCCCCCCAGCTTTTATTGCTGAGCACAATGTCATATGGTGTGGGACATTTCCTTTGGTCAGTTGGGTCAGCTGTCCCCTCCCAGCATCTTGTGCACCCCCAGCCTACTTGCTGGCAGGGCAGTGTGAGAAAAAGAGATGGCTTTGGCACTCTTAAAGCACTGTTCAGCAATAACTAAAACATCAGTGCATTATCAACACTGTTTTGGTCACAAATCCAAAACATAGCACCATGGAGCTACTATAAGGAAAATTTAACTCTATCCCAGCCAAAACCTTACAGTATTCTGGCCTGGGAGTGTACCCAGTGCTCACCCTGAGTGTGCAATTCAGTCACCTTACCCTCTGGAAGGGAGCTGTTTCGATGACAGCCTGCAGTGGCAGTCAGGAGCCCGGCTAAGCTGATGAATTGGAGGCCAGTTCTCTCCGTAAAGAAAAAATTCCTCTCTCTTGGAAGGCAAGTGACAAAGACAGAGTGTTCAGCTTCCCCTCCTTCTCCAGCCCGGCCTGACCTTCTGCAGCCCCTCGGTGCCTCTTGTTTTCTTATTTTTATAGAAAATCAATATCCCTTCTGACACAAACAATAGCTCAGGCGAAAGAATAAATGGGGGAAACCTGAGATCTCTGTCCATCACCTCTCACTTTAACTCCCCCAAACTATTTAATTATAAGCATGCTTTGCTCCAGGTGTTTGTGACAATGAAATTGCTAAATGAGGACCATTTTAACCAAAGATTGGGTGATCAATAACACTCTATAGCAGTAGCTTGTCGGATCAATAGCATTCATTATTTCATGGTTAAGGTAAGTAGCCTCCTTTGCAAGCGGAGGTCATTAATCAGTGCTTACTGGACCTGCAGAAAGGCTTGTGTAGGAGTCTATTTTGTGTTCAGCCCTGAAGTGTAAAAGGGTTGGTGAAGAGGATGAGATCTGTGAAAGTTCGTTCCAGTAAAACACTGGCAGTAATGTGTATGTATAAGGAACTGAAGAGCTCTCAGTACAACAGGATGCTTAAAGTACTGTTAATGTGATCTGGAATCTTGACTTAATGCTTTATCCTTTCTCAGGCACCTTTCCTCTGAGGATGCTAAAAACCTTATGAAGCAGTCACTCAATCCTCGCATCTGCTGCTTGTGAGGACTATTAATCCAGGCTTTCAAAAGGGAAAGCAGACATGCTAAGAGATTTGCCCAGGGTCATACAGTGAGTTGGTAGGAGAGCTAGGAGTGAAATGAATGGTTCTCAGTCCTTGGCCTTAATTGCTATGGTGTATATGTGGGAGGGTGAATGGATGGCCAAACTTTGTATGGATTGATTTGGAATTTGATATTAACTTACATACTCAAATGTGGGAATGATGTACAGCCTGTTTATCCTTTAAGTTTGAATGGCCTTTATACAGCGATGAAGATGTGGAGTTTGTAGATATCCAGCACGATGAGTTGATTTGGCTACGCTTTAGAGTGTATTTTCTAGGAGCAATAATGTGCTCACAAAATGGGGTTTTATGATGTGCCTGCAGTTCTTTGGGGTGATGTAACTTGTGATCCCTCATCCTTCAGCCTTTTGAATCAAGGGGTATCCAGTTGATAGTCGTGTCTAGTATGAGCCAATTTCCCTGGCAAAGAAGGGATCCAGAGATGCTTTCTAGCCCTGTTCTGAGATTGATTCTAGTGCTGAGTTAAACCTGATGTTCACATCTAAGGCCGTAGTGCTAAGGGGGTGGGCAGTAAGTAGTTTCTGCTTGTTCTGAGATCTCCCAGCTAAATCAGAGGAAGTGTTGCCCGAAGTGTCCAAGGATTGATTTAATATCACCATTAAAGCCATCAGATGCTTGGGACTGACCTGAGCACATACTTCTGCTACAAATATTCATCCAGCTTTACAGTCAATTGATGGCTTTCTACACATGAATTTCTAGTTTAATTCTTTGGTTCAGGAATTAAGTCTCCTGTAACTTCTTCAGCAAACGCAGAGCATGCTGTAACGAGGTTACATTCAGCAGCACCAAGTCATGCTGTGCTAAAGTATTTGGCTGAAAAATTGTGAATGTAGCAGTTGCTCTTCCCTCCAAATAAAATAAAAGTTGCTGTAGATTGAAGGGGGGGGGGCTATGTAACTGTATAACATTTTTGAGAAAAAGGAATCTGAAGTAGAAAACTTCAGAGGATTTTGAGTAGCTGTTAAGTGACCCAAGGACAGAGTTTTTAACTGCACTTAATTTCCTAGTGAGTATTCCAGGCAGTGTCATAGTTGGGTTATTAACTCTGGTACCGGAGGCAAATACCATTGTATTAATTACTTTTTGATAACTTAGAACTAGACTAGATACAGGATTCTACTCTTTTTCAAGTGATGCAGCATTGCTAGGTTTTAACTGAAAGCAATTATGTCCTGTGCTAGAGCCAGCCATGTGTCTGAAATGCAATTTCTGTGAGATATGTAAAGCATTTTTGGCTCAGAGAAGTAAAGTGTAGTAAAGTGTTTATTGGTTTATATTTGCCACAATTGTAACAATGGGGTTTTTTGTTTTTGTTCCAGTGAAACCAGCAGCGTATGCAGCAGCAGTGATACTGGCCTGTTCACCAATGATGAGGGCCGCCAAGGTAACAACTGTCCTGTGATTTTCCTCCTGTGTGGCTGGGGAATTTCTCTTGCTTTACAAATGCAAAGAAAGATCTGTGTTTGAAGAGGGACAGAGAGGGAAGTGTGGGAGAAAGTCTAATGGCTGGGAGTGGGAGTTAAGGGCTACTAAGGTGTGATTTTGGTAACGGTATACTCTTCCTGCTGAAATACTTTGCGTATCAGATCCATAACATTTGAGATATAAGAATCTATTGTTATGGAAGGGCACAGAAATCCAAGAGGAGTTTTGGAGTTCTCTGTAACAAAAGAGCAGAGCTTATGATTTGTTTCTATGGGTTTTTTAATTGTTGTCTACATACCATTAGTGCCTGGATCTATTAGTTGTTTTTTTTTATGGATAGGAAGAGATGATGTGAAAAAAAAAAAAAAAATCATTTAGTACTGACAAGTCCCCTAACAGGCTGTGCTAAGAAGACAATGGGAAATATGTGATGGGTTTTATTTCTTTAAGTACACATTCCTCCCTTGCTCTGGTGTGCATTAGCTGAGCCGAGTATTTTCAATCTCTGTTGTAGAAATGGTTGGAGTGTGGAATGTAATCTGGTTTTATTTATCATTGACAGCTCAGTGTCCAGTTTATGGGGGATATGGCAGAAATAAGTGTGAAAGAGGTTGTAGTAGGCACATAGGCACTCAGGACTATTACATTTGGAGCAGGTGGAATGTGACCCTAGAGACCTGTAATTCTGTGCAGCTTCTGGTGGTGTGCACTCTGATTCTGTCACATTTCACAAGCTAAGGCTTGGATGAGGTCTCTTCTGGGAATATATGAGTGCTAAAGGAAGTAGTATCAGTAACTCAGTAGGAAATGCTGCTTCTGCTGGCTTGTTACTGACCCAGGAATCTGTGTGCGAGGCAACATGATGATAGCAAATATGCTTATGTGTCTTCTGATGATATGCTGGGCTGTAGGGCTGATCTGTTGTGATCTTAGGTGGCTGTAATACTTTCCCTAAGAGTAAGGATTTCTAATATCAGCTTTGACCTTTGCTAAAAAACAACTGTTTCCAGCTTCCCATCCTTCAAAAGCAATAGAAAAATAAAATCTTTTCTCCTGTCTTTTTACTGATGACTGTTCTGGGGGAGCTGAAATTAGTGATGACTTGCATATCAGATGACGAAGCAGGGTGGTGACTGAAGTGTTGAATTTTTACTTCATCACCCAAGGCAAGATTGATGTAGACTGGATAAGTGTGTGTATATATACACACACAGATATATATATATATATACACACACACACACACTTGTCTATATGCTTGCCCTATATACTTGCCCTGGTTTTATAACCTGTTTTAGACATTAACTTTTGGCTGCTGCTAGAAGTAGGATACCTGGTATACAAGAACATGTAAAATATACTACTTAAATTAATAAAATCCAATTTTAGCCTTCCTTGTCTAGGTACTGGAAGAGATTTGACATCCTAGTTCAAACAGTTAATGCTATAATAGCTTTCTGCCCAAGATGTTTTAGCTTACAGTTATGTAAAAACGGGTTTAAAAACTGTTGTTGCACTTTCAGGTTAAATAAGAAACATCTCCCTTTTCTTTTTTTAGACAATTTCAAGTCCTAAAGTAAATAAACAATAACTCTTCATTTCAGAGAGGTGGAGAGAGCACAAACTGAATAATGGGAAATTTAAGATAACATTGTACTTAAATTGAATGTGTTATTTTTTGCCCTTTCTTTTGAGGTTATGCCATGTAATACGTTGCTGTTGCTAATTAAATAGGTTGTCTTTGCAATTCCAGCTACCAGTGCACTTCTGTGAGCAGACAATGATCCTAGTTTATAATTTGATTGTACATTGTTTTTTTTTGTTAAATGCATTGGATCTCTCATGGTGAAAGTTACTGTGATATTAGCATATGATCCTGATTGTTAAAATTTGTTTTGTGAAAATAGTGATTTGAGGTATGACAGCGCACTAGGCTCATAGATCCAGAACTGAAGGGATATTTTTTCACAAATAATGATAATATAGCAGAACTATCCAACATTATTTAGTTTTAATTTACTAAAGGTGGGTAGGGATATTTATGTTTTAAAATATTTGTCACAAGTGTGCTAGGTCACAGAAATGAAGAGCAGTGTCAGAGCTTTGAGGTGGAATGTTCTGACTGTCCTACCTGTTGCTGATTGGAGTTTGTTTTCTTCTGTTATGCGCAAGATTGCAGCATTCTTACTAGGATGAATTTTTTCTTTTCATTTTCCTTGTATTCTTTCTTTTTCTTTTTTTTTTTTTTTTTCTGGCGAGATACATAGGTAGGCATAATGGACTTCAGGCAAGGATAATATAACTTGGTGAGGAAAGAGAGTTAGAGAGGATGCTTGAGTTGAGGGTCAATGGTAGCCAAATGTGAGTTTTCTCTAAGTCAGGTGTAATGGTTTTTTAAGGCAAGGTGAACTACCTTGCAATTACATGGGCGTGTTTGTTAGTTGGGCTACTGAAAAGCTAAGTGTGTCAGGTTCTTTGCCCTCTTTCTGCTTTTTTTCTTATGCTGCCCACATGCTACTGCTCTCAGGGCATTTCTGGCCAGGCAGATTTACTACGAATGGTGTCTGATGCGGTTCAGTTTTAGCCTGCAACTGCATTAATTACACTGATCCAGCTTTATGGAGACTTTAGTCATGACTTCGGTTGCTGCTGCTCTAGTTTTGCAGGGGATTTGTAGTTCTTACAGATTCTAAGAAATCTTGACTGAGGCAGACTCACTGCATAGTTAGTACTTAGACTCAGAGTGACCATTTCTAAGAGTTGTCTATTCTCCTCTTTGCTGCTGTCTTAGGAGACTAGGGATCTTTCTAATCAGTAAGTATGCTCCTTTTGCTTACTCTGTGAGCTTGGTAGTCTCCTGTTGTGAAATCTCTCCTGTGACAGCTTGTAACTCATGCCAAATGATTGGCCTCTACCTCTGTCACAGTAATTACTTCAGAGAAAGAGTTGTGCATAAGACATCACACAACATTGAACTAAGGTTGATGAGATGCAGTCACAACAGAGCGCTAAAGCTGCCCTAGGCAGGTCTATAAAGAGGGCTTTGTTCTATAGGGAAATTCTGTAGACTGATGAGTTGGATAGTTTAAAGCATTTAGTGAAGCCCCATAGTTACTGCAGATCTTTGAAACAGAATACAAATATAAGGCTTTTCAGGAAGGAATTCCTAATGAGACTTCAGCTGTTTCACATCCAGAAATGCCTACCTGTAGTATTTTGTAGGATCGTCACAGGGCACATTGATGTTACTTGTGGCTAATTCTGTCCTGTTTCTTTAGGAGATGATGAGCAAAGTGATTGGTTTTATGAAGGAGAATGTGTTCCAGGATTCACTGTTCCCAACATTCTTCCTAAGTGGGGAGCTGACCACCGATCTGAAGTGGAGCGGATTGACTCAGGCTTGGACAAGCTCTCAGATTCCACGTTCCTCTTGCCCTCGCGGCCAGCTCAGAGAGGTGAGGTCCATAAGAATGCCATGTGTTTGAGAACTTTTGATGTGATGGCAAGAGTAGATTCTATTAATAAGTATCACAATTTAAGCTGATATTAGTGATCTGGGTTTTTTTAATAATCCATTTAAAAATAACTGCACTACTAGAGAGGATACTAAAATACTCGTATCACCTGCCCATGGTCTTGAATCCTTTTTTTTCTTTTTAATAGGGATTTTATATGATTTGTGAATAAATTGGCATATCTACCTCTTGCAGATTGAGAAACAAGAGACAGAGGATCTGGGTTCGCCACTGAACTAACTATTTTTCCTGGTGGCTTTATCAGGAAGAATCGTCTGTATTTGTGGCTCAGTTTTTCTGGGTTTGGTTTTCAGGATTTCATGCTCGCCTGAATCGCCTGCCAGGAGCTGCCGCGCGTTGTCTCCGAAAAGGTCGGAGGAGGCTTGTTGGCAAGGTACTCCCTTTTGCAAGATAATAACTTTGTATTTCCAATGCTGATCACTCCTGAAGTACTGTTCTGAGATAATAATGTGAATTGTTTTCTGCAGAAAGGGGCTCTGTACATTTTTTTTTTTTGTTTCATTTATTGTTTGGTTTGTTTGATTGCTTTGACTGTCAGAAATTGATTGAGTGACTAAGTGGAATTTAAGGCAGATTTGGAGTGGCAAAGACAGTTGATCAGTGCTAAAAGCAGTATGAAAGGAGGTCTGAAGAGGAATGACAGGGAGCGTAAATATCAAGAAGATTTAAACAGAATGTAAGGGAAAATGATGAAGGCATGAGACTTGTGCATGCTCATAATCTGAGACTACAAGGGCAGAGAAGTAACTCAAAGGTGAAGGAAGGCCAAACTTTAGATAGGGAAGCAGACTGATATGAATGGCAGCAAAGGAATTTGGTTTAGCTGTTGCATTTTTAGTGGGGAGACAGAATAATAAAACAGTATATGCAGTAACGCAGACAAAGTTACACAAAGCCATTAACTAGGTTTATTATATATAGGGCAAACAACAAATGAAATATTAGGCCTGTTCCTAAAGGATTAAGCAATACTTGGCATATGCCTGTGTAAAAGAGGGAGGGATACACCTGGTTGGGTCTGGATCTTGGAGTGTTGAGTGCTGCTGTCTGTCGTAAAACATGTTTCTGAGAAGGAAGGTGTTGGCTGTGTTTGGGTTTACTTTTATTGGGGTGTGCTTGGTGCTTTTGAAATATTGGCATGTAGTCTGTGCTGACTGGCTTTAGAGAGTTCGTTAGCAAGGTGTGTTAGAGGGGCCTGGAGTCTAGAGGAAAGTGACTTTTTCCTTCTGTTCAGTTACACTTGAAAGATCCTTGTTTGCCCCTTCTTTCTTCCACTCACCTTGCTTAGTTGTAACCAGAGTTTAAAATACAAATCCTCAACTGGCAAGAGACTGGCTTTTGGTAGGGTTCCTCAGGCCACCTGCAAGTGGCAGGGCCTGTTGGCAGCACCTCTAATGATCCAAATGAGAAGGATAATATTTACTTGTTTAATTCATCTTCATCACCTTAAAGGGATCTTTGTCATTTGCAACGGAGGTCACTGCTCCCCCTTCCCCATCCCTCTCTAAATTGTAATCATAAATAATGAGTTTCATTCAGAGCTCCCCGCCAGCGAGCTGCTAATTACCAAAAGTACGGCTTGTAATTTACACAGTAATAAACCGTAAATTTAAACATTACGGCACTTTAAGTTAATAATTTTCCTGCTGTAACAAATAGCCCCTCTTTCACCCCTGCTGCTATAACTCCCCCCAAACTTTGAGTGTGTTTTGCCTGTGTACCTAGCACAAACTGTGAAGAATCTTATCTGTGAAAGCCTTTTACCCTCATCTTCAGACCCTTACTGCAAAGTATATTTCTCTCTTGGAGGTGTTGCTCTGCAGAGATGAACAGCTGGTGCTTCAGGCTGTGTGTGTACGTGTACGCCAGCATCAAGCACTTACACAGGGCAGTGTCTCGCAGGGAGAAACACGCTCCCAGAGCAAGTCCTTTCTCCTAAGATCTACCTGTTCTTCAGCTGCTGTTGCTGAACAGCTGCTCTCAGAAAGGGCAAAAGCTTCATGCGTACTCCTTGCTGTATTCACCTGTGCTTGGTGAATCCCCATTGTTAGTGAGACAGCGTGATGGCCTGTCTCAGCCTGTTTCTGGCCCAGCTGACCCCAGCAACCTGGAAATAATCACTTTTCAGCCATTTCCACTGTTCTTCACTGCATCCTTGTGCTCCATACTTTGTACTGGTCCAGTCCTTGGTGCACCCCTGTGCAAGCAAATATCGTCACTAAAGTAATAAAAACCAAACTTCACAAATAAAACAGAATGATTTTCTGCCATTCTAATTAGTTAAATCAGCTCAGTTGAGGCTCTAAAAGGAGAGGGTGAATATGTTTAGCTGAGAGTGGACTGGGAAGGAAAGGATGTGGCCTATGGGAGGAAGATCTGTTCTTGTTGGCAGCAACAAACAATTATGTTTGCTCACTGTGTGAGAGTTTGCAACTTTTTACCTGTCTTTGTGTTTCAGGAGACCTCCATGAGCACTCTGGGCACCGAGAGGCTAGGTCATATTGTTAGTGATCCACGCCAGAAAGAGTAAGGCCCTTAACAGTGTTGTGTAGAACTTTGGGAGGGGAGGAAGAGATATAGTGTCCTCTTCCCTCCTGGGATTGAAGGCAATAAAGAGCTGGGTGGTAACTTAAGCGTGCAGTGACCTGTGGAATGGGAGACAGTCCTCTACTGACAGCTTCTCCGTTTTCTTACTTGCAATTGCTGACTTCCCTTTTGTTTATAAGGTTGCCCCAGTGCGTGGACACTGCTCAAATCCCCTTTTGGTTACAGTCAGCTTTTCTTTCCCCCTTCCCTTATAATGTGCCATTGCTATAGCTGCAGATCTTCTGCACACTGTAAGAAAACTGGGCCCTGTATGTTATTTAAAAAGCTTGTGTGTGGAGTCATGTTATGGGTGCATACCGAGACTGCAGAAATGATGCTGACAAGGCAGCCGCGAAATTGCTTTCTCTTTCTTTAGTGTTCTGTCTCCTTCCCCAATTAGTGTATTCAAATTGTAGTCAGCACCAGAAATAGCCACGGTGCCTATCCTTTGGCATCCCTCTAATGCCATTCTTGTTGAGCAATCAATGGGTAAGTGTGGCACCTCTTGACTGTAGTGCAGTGGGTCCAGCCTTCACCAGCTATTGGTATCCAGTTTTCTTCCTTTGAGCTGAAATTTGTTGTTTTTAATAAAAGTCCTGCTGATGTTTAATCTTTCTCCTTCCATCTCTGTTCTTTCCTTCCCCTACTCTCCTCCCTCCCCGCCACGTGTTCATTCCTTCCTTGGCATTGCTTCTGCCTGTCCTTCTGACTCTGCCTCCTTCCAGTTTTTGGTTGCCATCCATGGGGAAGAGAGATCGCAACCAGGTAAGCTGACTCTTCTCTACCTTTTTTATTTTCTTGGTTTCCTTCTCTCTAGAAAGAACAAAGTGCTGGCTTCTGATTTCCCACACACTGTGGCCTGTGCACATGAGGTAAGGCAGCCCTGTCCCTTCTCATTTTGAAAACTGATGCCTTCTGGGCTTTTAACATAACCCATGTCTCAGGCATTAGATTGTTTATTTAAACTGTATAAATCAGGAATTCCTTTTGTTTATCACCCTCTTTCAGGTTAGTGTAGGCCTTCCCCTCTGACAGTGAGTAGAAGGGAAAATGCCTGTTGCCAGGAGGAGCTTTGGCCTCTCAAAATTCCATGAGTACTGGAACATTTTTCTTTTTTTTAAATGCAGTGTTTTGCCCTGTTTGGCTAAGGCTTCTACCTGATAGTCTCATCAACAGAGAAGGGGAAAAAATGGTGAGCTGATTGTAGTTAAATAGCAGCTGTAACAGGAAAATGTACAAGGTGATAAGCAAGAGAAATAGGCATTCTTGTAACTGAAACTCTTGCCTATGCAGTTTTATGTTCTCCAGTAAGTCTTTCATAGCTTCAGTGCTAGGAGAGTTTTTACTTAAGATGTAAAAGCTCGGGTTTGTGATAGCAGAAAGCAAAAAGGTGCTTCCATTTGAGCAGTGTTGTAATAGTTTTCTGAGCCACACACACTCCCTTCTGTTCCTTTGCATGTTGGTTTTTGGTTGGTGAGCAGTAGAGTTGAAATTAAAATTTTTAATTGAAATTAAAAATACATACATGGCAAGAAATAATTTTCAGGCTTTTGTGCAACTTGTATTTTCTGTCTGAAAACATTTAACGCACCACTTTTATATTGCTATAGATAAGAATGATAACTACATAAGCTTTATAATGAACAAAACAAATTACTTTTCTTAAATGAACTTGAATCGGCTGCGGAGAGTTACTGGTGATTCTCCTTTACTGTGCAGCTGCACTGTTACTTCACTGATAGTAAACCAACAGTCCAACTTAAGGAGGAGCTCCCTGATAATAGTAGCTTTGTGGTGCCTAGTGCCTCTTCCTTCTCAAAAAGGTTGAAGGCAAAGGCCTAGTACTGAGTTCAAGAGTTGCAGATAGCTTTTATGACATGTCCTGCTACAGATGTGGATTCTTTGTCCTTATTTAAAAATGCCTCAGTAATCCTAGTAATACAAGAAGAGTGTTCTGCTGATTGGTGCAGCACTTTGCAAAGCAGATGGAAATGGATTTTCTGCTTATGGTATGATATATAAATAAAGAGGAGATGCTGAATGGAAGTGTGATGCAGGTACCCCAGAGAAACTACCAATCTAAACCTTCTATTTGCATATGAGCAAAGTTTGCTTCATGCATTGTTTGACTAGTTTATTCCATTTCTGTCCTGACCTTTAAGAAAAGAAAAAAAAAAAATCTTGAATTGCGTCTTCTACAGCAAGCTGTCTTGCATAGGTTTGATGCCTTCAAGATTTGCCTAGTGTATGTCTAACAAAGGATCTAACATTAGCCTGACCATGCAGTGTTTCAGAAATTTGTTTTAAGCAGTTTGCAAAGAAAGCTTGTGAGGTGGGTTGGGAGTGAGAGAAGGAGCTCATTGTGAAATAAACCTGGTGGGCCTGAGTTTTCTAGAGGTCTGTTTCTGTGATACACAGGACCATAGGGAGTATTGGAACTGCTCTGTGGGAAGTTCTGTGCTTGCATCATTCATAACAGTGACTTTTTTCTCTATGATGTGAAGGTAGACAAGAGGCTTCCCAGAAGGGAGGCAGACTTTTTGCTCATGGCATGCAGCAGTAGAGCTGTTTGAGTATGCTCGTAGTTGACCAGCATTTTTAATAATGCAAGTTGAAAGAGGAGGGTGCTTACAAGGCTATCTGTTGTGAGAAGATAGTTGTCAGATTTGCTGTTGTATCCTGTGCTAGCCTTTTGTCTGAAGCAAGAGTCAGTTTTTACCTAGTCTCACCTCTTGATGTGTCAGAAAGGTCTCCTTATACTGTATGAACTATAGGGAATAGATCTGAGCAGCTGTAGGTGGAGACTATTTCTTTTAATGCTTTGCTTAAATAAAATCTCTTGACTTTCCAGTTCAATCCACTATCTCCTCTGTACTCTCTGGATGTGCTTGCTGATGCTTCCCACCGAAGATGCTCACCAGCACGCTGCACTGCCAGGTAACTCCCTTGCTCTGCTCTGTTGGGGTTGTGTCACTTTCCTCCCATGGTTATCTTCAGCAGTACTATGTGATTTGAACAATACTCATGGACCTGGAAGTTAACGCACTTTTCCCTAGGAGGTCTGTGTTCAAACTTAGCATAAAACATACTGATGCTGATTACTTGAGAGTCTCAATACACTAAGCACTTAAAGTATATGAAACAGTGTGTGACAGACAGGCAGAACATACTGTGCTTTTAGAAATAAATGTGACCTGTTCTGGATTGCGCAGGGAGTTGCTGCAAGTTTGTTGTATAGGTACAAATGGGCACAGTATTGTTGTCCACTATTAAAATTGGAACAAGGTGAGACAGAAAATGCTGACAAGCTCGTGGGTGACATGCTGAGGCATTTCAGTATCCTGGGTACCTAAAATAGACCATCTGGGCAGATTCAGAACTCACCTGAGGTGACCTCTAATGGCTTGATTTCTCTCTGTTGCTATAGCTGAATTTTAGATCTGGTCTGGCCAAATGTTGCGTGTATTTGAGTCTGCATAGTTGGGGTTAATATGCTATTCAGGCACCTTCTGCTGACTAATCCTAAATTAAATTCAAGTGTTAGCCTTGGAGGTGACTCCCGTTCTTGTGTTGCAGGTGACTGTCTAAAGGTAAGGTGCCCTTGAGCTCTTTCCCTGTGCAAGGAGACAAAGACTTGCTTGGGACACAATTCTGCTTATGTGTTTGTACGAAGGACCAAATCTGAAAGAAACGTCTGGACTTTCAGCTTCATGGCTTTCTTTCCCTTGTTAATTAGCAAATAGAGCATGAAAAATGTACTGAGGTTGTATGTGTCTGAACGAAAGCTTGGCACCCACCCAGCAAAGCCTCTCCTCCCACTGGCTTCTGCAGGGAATTTTGTGATGTCGCACCATGACCTCATGCTGCTGTAGCCAGCATGTAAAAGGTGGAAAGAGGGAGGGAGGAAGAAATCAGCTCTTAAATGTTCAACTGGATGAGAATAAAAAGAATTCAGAAGGTTGTGCATCAAAAGTTGGTTTCTTTCTGGGCTTTTGCCCCACTCCGGGGATGATTTGTGCCTGAGAAGCAAGAAGACTGATTGGTCTCTTCATTTACAGCTAGGATAACCTTTCTTGTGCCTTGAGTGTTGTACTTAGTGCTCTACAGGAGTTCGTCTTCCAGAAAGGAGAGCTAGGTAAATCCTGCTCACAAATTCAAACAGGGCAAAGTCTCTACCTTTATGGTAATTATTAAAGGCCCTGTCCAAAGCTACTGGTTATGGCAAGGGATTTCTAAACCTGGAGGGATCACGTTCGCTTCGTTTTGCTGAATATGTAGTCCAGCTAACTGATGAATATATTCTCGGTTCTCTCCTCTAATGAACAGGTGGTTGGTGTCCTGAAAAACTAATTCATGATGAATTGTTACCAAATGTTGGAAGAGAAGTTGTCCCATCCCAGAGCTGGCTGTGTTTTTAAGTGCCTGTAGTCTGAGAAATTAGTTCCTATTTTATTGTGAAATGTGGTCAATAATATCTATAGGAGAAAGAAATATGGAAAGAATGACTGTGTTACGTGGCCACGTGTATGTGGCAAGGATTGAGCTCTTCGGTGTGAGGTGCTTGCTTTACATAGAGATGCTGATAAGGGCGCAGAAGGAAATTGTTCCTTTACAGAAATGTTTTCTTGGCAATAATTGTTCTTTAGGTGCTTCAATAACCAAGCCTATTAGTAGTCCGTTTTCTCACAGTAGGTTCAGATGATCTCTAAGTGCTGTTCAGCCATTGCCGCAGTTAAGTCTTCCTCTTTTGCCATGGATGGAGTTAGTTCCAGTAGCATGTGCTTTAGTAAGCTCCTAATAGCTTGCACCTCATCCTGGAGTAACTCTAACTCAGAAATTTGTCAGAAGCGGATGGGGCAAGGGGAGTGAGTGGGGAGCGAGAGCTAATTCCCTAAGAATGATAAGACGTGTTAGAGAAGAAACTGTCTGTTGTGGACATGCAATTTCTTCAACTGATGCCCACTGTGCCATGCAGGATTACCTCTCTCTGCTTAGTTGCTGCTGTCATGAATGTGTCCAGTGTGGTATAGTTACCAGGTGGAGCTCTTTTCTCTCACTTGGAAATGTTTTCTTTGTCTCAATGGTGGATTTTGGTGGAGTTTATGTGGACGTGCAGTCTATCTGTAAGACTGGTAACCCAGTGCTTCGTTTAAGCAGAGCTGATGGCCAGAATACTGAGGACATTGGGGGTGTTCGTTCAGGCTTTTCAGTGTCAGGGAGGAAGGCTCTATGTGGAGGGTTCCTTGGGAAGTCTTATTTGAAAGGCTGTATAAATTGTACACTACCAAGATTATCTTTCTTGCTTTATGTCTGCGATGAGAAGAGATTTCATTCAAAGTGTATGCACAGCATTGGGAATTTCACACCCATCATTAGAAGCAGTTTTGTGTGTGTGGTGACTGTTATCATTAGTGGTATAATTTTATTTTGTGAAGCGAGGAGAGTTTCCTGCTTTCTTGCAGTCCTCCCGAGGGACAACTGGTGTATTAATTTGCTGTATTGCCTCCTGGCTGTTCCCAGGCTGTTTTTCCTCTTCATCATGGAATTTTTAATGGCCCTGCTGCCTCTCGGGAGGCATGCAAGGAAGAGTACCTCAGGGATCTCTTCCTTTTTTCACATGCCTATAATTACTCTCCTTTAAGAGCACAAAGCGTTTGCTAATCATGTCTTGTCTGTTAAGGTTTCGGCTTCACGATGTGGGCTGTTAAAAGCAAGCAAGTAGAGACTTGCACGGACAGCCCAAGTGATCCTTCTCTTTCTCTTCTGCCCATTTGCCTCTCTGGGAGAACAGGGTGGTCTGAACAGAATTTTCTTCTTGAACTCCTTCTGCTAAAGAGGATTTTGTAAAGGCTCAAGCAGAGTATCTTATTAGATTTCGGTTATTCAATGGCTCTATCAGTGGGAAGATGTTATAGGTTCTTGGTCAGTGGAATGTTATTCCCATGAGGCATGGTAAGAGTTTCCGTAGAGCCTACAGCCAATGTTCCTTCAATTTGAGTTTGAATAACAGGTAGAATAAGAGAGGAAAGTAGAAGATATATTATAGTATTGTTTACTAAGTCTTGAAAATAGACTTATGGGTGAAAAGTTCAGTTAAATGCTCCCACTGAAGGTCATAGGAAAAGTGGACTTCAGATGGTAAGTAGATGTTGAAGGTGGAGATTTGAAGAATTACGTTAGAGAGACCTCTGAACAGTACAGATGAATCAAAGAAAATAGCTTTGCATATCCTCTCAATTAATATTAACTGTAAACCTAGAGTTTGATTGGGTTTAGAAGCGAGTCTCTCATCTTGCCTGGAACACAGGATAAAGATCTAAAGGGGTGAGTGATAGAGTGAGTCTCCTAGAAATCTTCCAGTTGCTCCATACCCTGGATTTGGTGGTGCTGTTAGATTGAAAAGGTTTGAATGTCTCTAATTCCAGTTCTAGCTCTAGAAATATGCTCATCAAAGTAAATTTTGTTCTTTCTCTTCAGTATCTGTGCAGAGATCCTGACACTCGTGCCTCTTACTCAAACACGTAGATTGCCCACAACAGCAAGCCTTTCCCGAGGCAGTTGAAGGAGTGAACGGATGTTCACAATTTCATACTTTCCCACTTGACCAGGACAGTTTCCAGTTCATTCTGTGTAACCTATCCACACATCATCTTCCTGAAATTGTCTTTATTTAAAATTTCTGCTGTCAACTGCTTTAGGCATCTTTCTCCCTATTTTTTTTTAAACTCTTTTTCCATTTAGCTGGAGCACTTTCATGTCTTCCTTTGCTAAAGCCTGGCTAATATTCCAGTTGAGGATATAACTGAATTCTTCTGACAAGCATGCAATGAACAGCTATCAACCTAGTGTCACATGCAGTTGTCTGAGGCCTAATGTTCCCATTTTGGTGAATCCTAATTCTCTGGAGTGAAAAATCCCCTTGGCTTCAGAATTTTGTTTACTTGCTATTGCTTTCTTCTCCTATAAAGCATGTTGCCATTATCGAATCCGTGTACTCAGCAGGTCTGGCAAACATTAGGACCCTTTCTGGCACAAATATAATGTGATTCAGTTTGAAAATACAGAATGCAATATATGGGATCACATCATCTCTGCTTAGAATGCTTGCATGGAAACCAGAAAAAAAATGTGTTCACTTGCATTTGCCACACACAAATTTTTAGTAATGGAACTGCTATGTCATTAGAATGCTTACTTGGGGAAGAGACTGCTGGTGCATGAAGACCTATGAGATTCGAATGATTTAAGAAGTGAGCTGACCTGTTAGTGGTTTTGGAATCTGAAAACATGCTGTAGGAGCTCTCCCGTGAGGCTCTGCAGGGCGCAGGAGGTAACTGCACTGTGGTGTGACAGCAAGGACCACTTGCGGGCACGGGAGCTTTGCGTGCAGACTGGATGAGCAGCTCCTGTTGATTTTCATGTGCTATGTGCAGGTCAGACTTTGGTGCCCAGCTGGCTCTGTAGTCAAAGAGGAGGAATAACTCTGCTTTTACTATTAATTTTGTGAAGCCACTATCAACAGCTTTAGGTAACACCTCGGGGTTTAGAGAGAGCGCCTTTTATTCAGCCTGTGTTTGCTGGGAGTATAGCATCACAACAGCAACAGCTGGGTTGTGTGGAGTTTTAGTAGCAGTATCCTTGTTAGAAGGCTGTCTCTGTTGAACATTTACTTTAACAAGAGGATAATAGCATCCCTTGTTTGTATGACAGTAGATTAATGGCTGCCTCACACTTTCACTAAATAATCCAAGTGCTTTGCTTCCTCTAAGTGTAAGGTTAGAATAAAGACTGTCAGCAGAGAAGCTGGATGATGTGAGATTACAGAGGCACACCCCCCCCAAGTGTGCAGTGCCTCCAAGAAGGCCACAGACTGTCACAGTTAGCTCTGTAGGGTCTTCTCAGAGATCTCTGTTGTGAGACTGAGGTTGTTTTTACCCCAAATTTTGAGAAAGTGGACATCACTTTACAACCTAGACTTTTGTTCACAGATGCTGAAGGCTTCAGGGGCCTGATGCTGTTCAGTAAGGTTCTTTGCGGGCTGGTGTCTGCTTGGGCTCTGTGTTGTCTCCCACAGATTCTACGGCCAATCCTAATTTCTTGTTGAAACCCTGTGGTAGATGTAAAATAGTGGCAAGCTTCTGTGGCCCTTTAGTCCTGCATGTGGTTGATCACCTTGAACTGTAGGAGTGAGGTAGAAGTGCAGTGTATGCAATTACAGTTAATTTGAAAAAGAGGAAAAAAAAAAGTCACAGAATACACAGGATAAGCATGTGGAGGAGAAAGGAAGCATTACTTCTGATACAGTAGAGACAGCAGTGAATCTCAGCTTTATGCATAGCAAAGCCCACTTCTTCTCCAGTGTGACCTGCATGTGGAATCAGGTACCTTAAGTACTATGTTAAGAAAAAGAGACAAATTCATATTTCCTGGATAATTCCTTTAGCTTGTGATTTAAAAAAAAAAAACACCAACAAATCATCAGTCAGACACTATAGACTTTTTTTTCATATAAAACCATTTTTTCTATGTGTAATTTTTTGTTCACTGACTCGTGGCAGTAAGAGGCTGCAATGTGAGTTGGATGTATGGCAGCCACCAGCATAGCTGCACTTTGGATCCTGCCCTATCTCTCCAGGTGTGTTCTGCTTTTTCTCTTCCCAGGTTAGAATTTCAGTCTTCTCTAGCCTGTAAACTAGGTTTTTGCATTAGTCTCTGGTCACCTGGCAGATCCAGCTGGGACTGAGCACTGTGACTTTTTTTTCTTATAATCAACCAGCCATAGTTCTAAAGTAACCCAGCAATTATTTTCTCATTTGTGCAACATTAAAGAAAGTATATAGAAGCTTGACAGAAGAGTTTGAAAGCCAGTCAGGACAGAGTAAGCACCTTTCTAGTTTCTCAATTTAGGCCCAGATCTTTCATCCCACAAAACTGTGCCTCAAACTTCTTCACAGAGGGCTTGTGATAATGCCCGAATGTGCATTTTCAGTCAGCCTTTCCTCTCAGCCCTGTTGTATTCTACTTCAGAGTAATTTTTAAAGCATTCAGAAGAGTTATTAAAATTCCACTTTGACAGAAAAAACTAACTCATGGTTGCAGCCTGTCAGTGAGATTGTCACAATATATATTTCAGCCTGTCCACTGCAATGTTGTGTGCTGCACATACCCATCCCCTGACTTCCGTGGTGGTGGTGTTTCTAGGAGTCTGCTATTAAACTGGGATTCACCAATTCGATTCTTTTAGCAATATGGCATCTGTATGTGACCTAATGATTAGAAATTTAGATTGGAAAGTGTGGTATCTACCAAAAAAATGCATATTTCATAAATTATACCTCAGACACCCTTTCTGTCTCTGTCTTAATGAGGACTATCATCCGTGCCTGCGTTCTTCTGCTCCTCTCTCTCCCAGGGTATGTACCACATGGAGATTCCCTATATGCAGATTTATGGTGTCTGTAAAGTGCACCAGCCACTTGAAACTGACACTTTTACCACCAGGTCAGTCAGAGCCAGTGAGTAATCAATAGGTTCCTGATTTACTAACTGAAGTGTGGGTGATCAATAAGGGATAAACCTGAATGAAATACATGTTACAGAGACAATTTATGACGTCTGAGCCTTTGTGTATTAGAGGCAGGGCTGCTAGATGTAGTGTCCTTGCTACTAGTCTCCAGCTAGAGTATGATTTGCCTTTACTTTGAGTACATGAGGGGATTTTGAGCTGCCTATTATGTTTTAATTTTTTATTTTTTTTTCCCCCTGTGTAATTGTGAGGTAAGGATAGATGTAGTTTGAGCTCAGATGGAGCCGAGCCCCAGATGCTCTTATTCGAAATCTAGTTGTAACATTTGTCAACTGGGAAAAATTGCATAGTCTCTTGGAAATTATAGTGCATACTTCTTTCCTAGTCTATAGTGATTCTCCACCAAGGATCAGCTGGCTAATATTGGTATAAGTTCATAAAATTAAAAAGGGAACCTTATTATGTGATAAAATGAGTTGGATTATTAGATATATAATTATATAGTCATCTAGTTAGTAATCTAATACTATGTCACTGATGCAAAATAGAAAACTGAAGTTCCACTTGATTGAGACTATCTTTTCCTTGGGCTATGTGTGCCTAGATATTTTAGAATACATTGTAGAACTGTGCTAAAACACTAGACAGCCAATGTCATAATCATGTACAAAAGCAGTTTTTAGCATATATGAAAACACTTAGAGGTTAGTCACTTCTGTGTACAAACACAGGATATGCAGTCTGTAGGTGTACTAGTGTTTTCGAAAGCCTTTAGTTCATGCTTTCAGGAGACTTCTGTGTCTGGTTGTATTAATATGCATTCCCAGATTTGAAAAATTGGCTGTCAGTGAAACTTAGTACAATTTAAAAATTTTTGAAACTATTCCTTAATGTCAGCTTCATATGACAGATACTGTAGACTTCTCGTAGAACTTTGGAATTTTAATTGAGAAGACAGAGTGGTAGATACTTATTTCTTACCTTGTGGTTGCACGTTACAGGTAAGTAGGTAGACCTGGCAGCATTCAAACAATTTATAGTTTTGGCTGGTATAGGAAATTTTTCGTACTCCCTACACTGTTCTTCATAGCTACAGCAGCACACTTTGATTTTGCATAAATTCAGTGTCTAAAATTGTATATATTATAAATATGCTTTTTTTTTAAAGTAGATTTTGGCATGGAGATATGAAGATATGAAGTTTTTGTTTTATTATCTGTAAAGGGTTTCAGTACTTGATAAATAATGTTGTTAAAATTTCAGAATTTTTTTAAAAAAAACAAAATAACAAGCTTTAAACACATGAAGGCTTTTCATCACTCAATCGCAGAAATTTATATGGTTCCAGTCTTTACACCATGTAAGGACCTCACTATCTGTAATGGATTTTATTTGTGCGGTAGTGCTGCATTGTGCGCGTCAGATCTGGTGCAGAGAGTCACCGAGGAACTTGCCAAAGAAGCTACATTCTCTCAGACAAAGCAGGGATTTGAACCAAACGTCATTGCTAAATTATGCATTTGTGTTCATTATGGATTGTATTTGAGAAAGTTCTCTGGTCCGCTGCCAAGACTGTTTTTTCTGAATTACACTTCTCTTCTTCCTATGTCTGGAACTTGGAGGAGTGCTTAGTTGAATTCAGTCCCAATAACGCAGGTTTCATCTTAATTGGCAAGTGGTGAAACTGGTCATCAGTAGGCTTCAGGCTTAATAGTTGGTGTGACTGGGACAGATTATGCCTTTCAGGCAGTTTACAGGTGCAGTGAGGCTTTATTACCATAAGCTACATTCAGCTGTTTTCATAGCACTTCGATAAGGAAATCATAATTTTGAATATGCATGAGACAGTTTTGCATTCCTAACCTTATGAACTTACTACTGTAGTGGAAACAATATGCATGGACATTTGGAATACAGGTACATTCTAAGATGACTCTACAGTATTAAATGGGTTGCAAAATAATTTCTGAATAGGGGGCAAATACCACGCAATTCTTCCCAAGAGCAATCTTGCAGATATTTGCTACACTTGTACAGAAGTAATGGTAGGACATGTGTCATATCACAGCGTGATCACATCTTCACTTATGCAAAGAGTTATTTTAAAGTTAATACAAAACCAGATCCTATAAAGGCTAAGAAATAGTTATTCCTCTGAGCCATTTATGTGTGTGTGAGCTCTTAAAAGAAATGGGAGCATAATGGTATATTAGTGAAGAATGTGAGCAAAACTTCCCTGAGAAGCTTTTGATTTGTGCTGCCTACTAGTTAAGAAGCTGATGGGATTTGGTGAGTGATTGGCCAGAATCTTACAGGAAGGTAATACTGGAACAGAGTTTTAATTTGCTTGAATTTCTCTGTAGGCAAGCCAGTTTACACCTGGGACCACCATGTTCAAGGGACATCAAGAGGAAACGAAAGCCAGCTGCAGCCTCCATGTCCAGCCCAGCATCAGGTAATTTGTGTGTCAGCATTTCCAAAGTTGTGTCCCTCTTGAGCAAAGTGCTAGAGTGACATTAGTCAAAAATAGCATTACCTTGATTTGAAACTAATGAAATGTGTTTGAGAGAGAGTATCATGTGTTTTTGCATAGCATCAAAAGCTGCCTACTAAACAAATCTTTGACGCTGCCGCTATGGTAAGTTAATATAATTTACAGTGCTTCGCTGTACAGTGGGTAATAATCTGTTTCTTCATAAGGTGTTATTTCCACCATTCCTAAATTATGGAATACATGGTAATAAGGAGGTGATAAGTGTACACAGTGTGTTCCTTCATTGTTGATCTGACACTAGCTGATGTCTAGAAACACCCTGAAAAAGGGTATACCAGAGCCACTTTTACACAAGTAGAAATCTGGCAATTTTTGTATCATCACTGGGTGAGACTAGCTATTCCCTGAGAGTTGGCTTACTCTTGTGTATGAAAATAGTCACTTTTTTCTTTTTCTTGCTCTGGGGATGTAGTGATTAAAATGCTGGTTTATTTTCACGTGGCATATTTCTGGAAAGTGATTTATTACTCACTGGAATCTGAAGAAGTTTTAAGCTGCAGAACACAGGGATTTAGTAGACTTTCTGGCCTCTCACTCTACCCCCTCTTGAAATATTTTGCCTACTATCAAGCAACCGATGTTCTTCCAACTAGTTTATTAAAAAACTATTGTTGTAATCCAGTAATGAGGTGGTGGATAAGGTCATGGGGAAAAATGGTGATGGGAAAACAGTGGGGAAGGCTAAAGGAACTGATGATGAATAGGAGGAATGAAATTTGGATGTCTTCCTTAGGCTGGGTAAAATAATGAAGCAGGGAAGAAAGTTATGCTAGCTCTCCAGGCCACAGGTCTAGATTACAGACTATCTGAAAAGTTGTGTATTAAAAAAAAGAAGATAAAAGAACATTAAATTGGCAAAAGTGCTTAGCAAAAATGTCATGTGTTATTGACTATTTATTTAGAATATTCTTGCCTGGCTTTTGAGTAATACATGCCAGGGCATTCAAACTTCTGTAGTGAAAGGGTTAGTAAAATTGTATATACGTAGCCAGAGAATTTTAGTTCTGGGATACTAGGTTGTCTTGGTATGAGTGCTAGTGTCTCACTGTCCCCTGTTACCTGTCCATTTATTTATTGTTCAGAGTATATTCTGTACTGCATTGCTGGTCACTTTCTATAGGGAGAGCTTCTATTTCTCTGCCTATGTTTCAAAATAGGCAAATTGTATAGTAAACATTTTTTGAAGAGTTGAATCTGCATCTGGAGTGGAACTCAGCACTGGAAAATAGCATAGAGGTTTGAAAGGTTGGTTTTTGGAGGGAGATGAGGGAGAGAAAGTATGTATTACAAAATAAGGAAGGAGAGTATAGTTACTGGAATCTGGACAGGATGCTTGTGCTGATCATCAAGAGAAAAGTGCTGCAAAGGTCTTCAATGGTCAGAAATGGTAAAGACCTCTTCCTTAGGCCCAGTTTAGAAATATGCCCAGCAAAGTTAACACCTATGGACAGGGTTTGCTATAATACTGACTAGCAGAAAGAAAATTTGTGATTGGGTAACTGAAGCTGTGCCCTAGCTGGCTTTCTACAGCAGCTTCCTAATTGCAGCTGGAGCACAACCTGGGTATGTAACTTGGAAACTTCTGAAATCTGGGTATTATATCTCTCAAAGGTGATCTGACTTTGGAATTACTAATGCCTAAAGAAACACGTAGGGTTACTCTGCAGTAATGTAGAATTAACTGAAGACTCTTATGCTTTTTAGACATTGATGAGATAGATACAGATTTTTCTCCCTTGCCATGCATCTACTTGCCCCTAGATAAATGTCTTATACTGGTGTTCTCCTGTACCTTAGGAATCATGACAGCCTCATTTTCTCATTACAGAGGCTTTTTATGTTTGTGTTGTTTTATTTTTTCTGCAAAAGATGAAACACAGGTGACTCAGAATTCAGGCCCATGCCTGTCACTGCAGGTACGCAGGGTGCGGGATTTCTTCACCTTTAAATAGCTCCTTAGCTGAGTCCAACTGCTCTCGTCTCACTTGTTGACCAGGTCCTGCTTCAGTGATCTCCTTTTTTGCAACCCGAGTGCCCCATGGAGGTGAAGGACACAGCCTGAGCTGGCTCCATCAGTCAGCAGAACAAATGGGCTTGCTCTGCCGAACATCGGGCCATCTCGGATTCCACCTCTTTTATAGAGATGAGTGATGAAGAGGGGCTCGTTCCGCTTTGCCGCTGTATTAATACACATCAGGGGCCAGCTCCCGGCACTAAATCACGCTACTGCATACATCTGTTATCGGACTCCTCACCAGTGTGATGAACAAGACTGCAGATAGAGGCTTCCTCATGTCATTCTTTATAGGATTTTCCTAAAAGAATAAATAGCTCAAATCTCTGCCAACACTCTCCCCTGTCATTGTGATGAATTTAGCTTCTTTCTTAAACATGCAGCTACAAATCTTCCCCTGTCGCCTCACCCCCCACCATCCACAGAAAGTTTTGAGTTGAATTTGGCTGAAATCAGAAGATGCTAATAAAAGGCATATGTGATGTGGATGCTATCTCCCTTCTAGCTGCAGGAATGAGAGAAGTGAGCTAGACATATGTTTATTTGGGAGCCATGCAAACTAAGTTTATTCTGTGTCTTCTCACGTACTTTTATGAATGTGAGTATTCTATGGATTTTGGTAAAACATAATTTGTCAAAGACCCTTTGTATGAACATAAAAACCCATGCATTACTGTAGCAGAAGTGTCTAGATCTCTATTGTATTGTTATAGCATTAAACTTCTGGTATTAGTCCTGCCCTTTGAGGGTAATTGGCCCAAATACCATAAATGACATAGCTGTTAAAGAATAGCATTTTGGAAAAAGGCCTGTCTCTTGAGAGCAACAAAAAGCAGGTAGAAAATTCAGAACTCATTTGCACTTCAGGAAGTGACTATTACCAAAATTGAGTTGTGAGCAAACTTATGGAAATGTTGAGAGAGATTGAAAAGGAAAGTTAGTGCTTTCTACACTACACAGTTGAGAAGTATGCGAGCCCTAAAGCATGAGGTTTTCAATGGGTAAGAATAAAAGTCTGGCTGGTGTAGTTTGGCAGTAGAATAAGGAAATCTGGAGGAAGTAAGACTGGCTAATCTGGATGAGAGCAGAAGTTCATTCAACTCAGTGACCAACAGTCAGTGCAGAGGGAGGAAGAAAATATGTAGTAATAAATGTTCTTTGAACTTCTGGTGATCCAAGACTTAGGGGCATGGATAGTGTCTTTGTGTTTAGTTACTTTCCGTTGAAGTACAACAGATTTGGAATAATGTCCTCAGTGGCACAGTAGAACTTGTCTGAGAAATACTGTATAAAATGTTATTCATGGTAGTTATGAAGATGAAGTGATGAAGACTGTCATGTCTGTCTTCTCTTTGTCAGAGTAGGCTACAGTATAGATGGCTGTGAAATAAATGGTGAACAATTGTTCAGCCTTACATTGATGTTTTTAATGTTTAGGTGGTCCAGTCCCTTATATATGTAGTGGTGCACATGGTAACTGGCATCCTGGTCAGGTATTACAGTAAGTCTGGGGGTAAAAATCTGCATAAATAGGCTTTTGAATACATGCCTCAGAATGTATTTACACTTAGCTTGTGAAAAATAATAATTTCTAAAAAGTGCCAGTTAGTAGCCTCTGAAACTGCTCGTCAGAGAACAGCCTGATGAGTAGTAGCGATTTGGTGAATTTTCCCTCTCCTGTTTCTTGCTAATGCATTCCCTCTTTGTCATGGTGTGATGGTACCCAGCAGCAAGAAGTCTGTTTCAGTCCTTTGATTTTTTTTTTATTTTTATGAGCAAAGATGGAGAGCCGGAGTGGGGAGGCTGCTAGGAAGGGGCCCACAGTGTAGTATTGGTGGTGATTATTAGTTTAAGTACTTTGACTTACTTTTTTTTTTTTTTCATGTTTCATATTACCTTCAAATGGAGGAAGTTGATGAGCTAGAAGTAAAATATGCAATGTAGTGTTATCAGCTGTGGTGTTGTGGTTGTATGGGAATGACTCACTGTTGTGGATGTAAAGAGGCAGGATTGTCTACTGAGTGTGAAACCTCAAGCATCAAACCAGCTTTTTATTTAAACTTCAAAGTAGTCAGTCCTCTAGTTGAGGCTTGTTATGGCCTCTTTATCCTTCATCCACTACAGAGCAGCAGATGCAACTTGTAGTAAAAACACACAAACAGCTATTATCTGTTGCTAGAATACAATGAAAACGAGATGTGTTTCATACTAAAGCAGTTACTTGTTCAAAAAAATTCTGGTTGCCCCAAAGACTCCTGTGGTAATTACTCCTGCCCTGTTCTGCTTGTGAGGATCAAGTGATTCAGGATACTGAGAATGGGAGTAAACTCTTTTATCTCTAGGTTTCTGAGAATCCTACTGGATTTTCCTACTGGAAATTTGGGTGACCGATGAGTTGAGCTATGGATCTGCAAATCTCTCTTGCTAATTGTAACCTGTCCCATTTTGAAGCAGTGGTTGCACTGAAAAAATGAGAATGGATTCCAACCTAGTTTAGCAAGTAGCTTCTTGTTATAATCTGCTGATTCACCATATTGGGTATATGTGGAGGTTCATGGTACTGCGTTTACTGGATAAGGAGGAGATGTATATTCTCCTCTTTAACTGAGCTTTGCAACCTGAAATTTGTCAAGCCTTCAGAGACTTCGAAATTCTCAGATACAGGATTAATTGCATCATTGTGAAGAGATCAAGTTATTTTCAGTTGAGTGATTATGAATTGATTCAGTTTCATAACAGGACAGCTAAAGCTTTTGATTTTCCACAGAAACTTTGACTAAGAGGACTAGGTAGTCGACTAGGAACCCTGAGTTCTAAATGTGAGACTCATTAGGGCAAAGGTGTTAATGCTATCAAGAACCTGTATTTCAAAGGAATTTGGCAGGGAAACTTGTGGGAACTCAGGAAATAACACATTCATATAAGAAATTATATATATGAGGTGTTTGTCATGAAGTCACTTGTTCTAACTTTTTTTTTAATTACCCTTTCCTACTCTCTTCCTCTGTTCCCCCTTTCCTACTCTCTTCCTCTGTTCCCCCTTTCTTGCAATTTTATATTCCAGCAACTTTATCTGTCCACATGGATGCAGCAGAGTCAGAGCTACCAGCAACACCGTCCCTGAGATCGCAGAACTCTGAGTGGACTGGGAAAACACCAGCAGCCGAGAAAGCCACTATTGCTGCCTCCAGTAACTTTTTTAAAATGCCACCAGAGAAGAGCCCTGGATACAGCTAAAAGGAAGCATTGCAACTGTAAAAGCTTGCTGGATTTTGGAATTGTTTGACTTTGGTGTGTGTCTTCACCAAATATCTTGTTTGGCAGTAGTGATCTCTTCAGTATTGGTGCGTGACGCGTGCCATCATCCAGACTGATCTGCGTGCCCCACATACCTAAATCATGTTTGTGAATCTATGTTTAAAAAAAGGTAATCAGTGTTGGGACCGCAGTGGCTTTTAAAAATGTTCTTGCTATTCCTGTATTTATTATGCATTCATCTCTTTCCCTGATGCCAGCTCATATGTGCTGGGTCATGTACAGATTCTTTTGGGTTTTCAGATCTTTATTCACCCCCAGACATGTTGCTTGTTTGTACGTTTGGCATTTTTTGGGTGAAAGTCCCATTGCCACTCTGGGAGGCAAGTCTCCCCCTGCTTTCTTCCAGGCCGGGAGGATTTCTTGGCTGGGGAATGAGGAGGGACTGCAAACAAGTTGAAATGTGGAACCTGAATTCTGTATTAGTAGGATGTTTTCAGGCCATGTACTAATGGACTGTAATCATGTTGCTTTTGGCAAAGCAAATACAGTGCTTGTCCATTCAGAAATTGCCATTGGCTCACTGGCAGCATGTACCTTCTCCCTTGCTCTGAATGTCTATAGTCTTGCTTGTGTATTGCATGTTCTTTCTTAAATCTCCTACCAGATAAGGATTTGGGAGAACTACTTGGACATTAAATGTGCAAGCTGGAGTCCTGCAAAGGAACTTGGGCCCTTGTATATCCTTGGAGTATGGTAGAGGATATACAAAACTTCAATTTCTCCATGTATAAATTAAAAAATGACTGCTAGCATTTCTAAATGACACTTGCCGTTGAAGTTAACATGCCATTGAACAAAAAAAGCCATTTAAAGTATCACCTGAGTTCAGAGCATTCTGGGTATTGATCAGACCACTTCTGCCGCATGTTTTCCCTCACTTCAAAAAATGTTGTCTGCCGTATCTACCGGAGGTGTCTCCACCTACTGATGATTGTACTTTACTCTGCAGCGTACACAAAAGAGATTCTCTTCATAGCATTTTGACTTGGTCACCCATTACCTTCTGTGTTGCAGAATATATGGATAGTGATTTCTTCCCTCTATTTTTTTGAATTCTTGATCACACTCCACTTACTTTTCTTGAATTTGTCTGCCTGGAGATTATTCTGGGCAACATTTTTAGAATATACACCTGGATAGCATCTGTCAAAGAGCAGGTGGTCTCGTGGCTTCTAAAGTCCATTAAAAATAGGAAATTTGTGTATGCATAGAACTGTTTGCTTTCCTTACCGTGTGCAGCTTTCAGACAGGACCATTTAAGCTTGTAAAATTCATTTTGAATGGAGAGGTGCAGTTAGCACTCTAAAGCAGATAACAAAATTTGCATCTTTTTAGTGGTTTTGCAGTGTTCTACCCTACTTTATAAATCAAATAGCTGAGGGACAGATTTGATTGTGAGGCTATAAAGGAGTGATTTATATTTAACTCTGTATTAAAATGTTAAATGGTCATAACATACACAAAACAAAAATTGAATGACTCACTAAATCATGATTGACAAATACAGTTATACTACAGACACACTGTCCGTGTCTGATCCTCTAATACCTGCTTACTCTTGGAGAGAGATCCAAATTGGATTTATATTTCGCAGCCCAAGCAAACTGTCAGATCTGTCATTGTAAATCCCTCTCAAAACATTTTTTTTTTTTTTTTGTGGTGGTACATTTTAGAACTAATTGGAACAAGGAAAGCCTTTTTACCTTGCTGAAGCAGTACAGAGGTCAGTTTGGATTACAGGACAAGCTGTAAGGGTTATGTGAAGAGAGGAGTGTTCCTGTTTATAAGCAGTCATTGGATTGTCTCATTTTGTCATTATTTTGAGCAGTGGTGCTTAAGAGATAGCACAGGCAGTCTCAGTGCTGGAGGGCTTAACCTAGAACATAGAAAGAGAAGGTAAACCTGAAGAGTAGTAGCTTGACTATCTAGTATTCTTGAACACAGTGAGGGGGAAAGGTGGTCCCATTCTCTTGACAACCTGCAGCTAAATTTGAAGGTAGGAAACCTCGTAACCAAACTTTCAGGCTGTTTCAGTGGCAGGGATTATTTTCATAAAAAAAGTATTTGTGCCAACTGAGTGCTTTTCATCTCATGAAGGATCCTCCACAGCCTCTCTTGGTTTGAATTTATTCAACAGACTTACTCAGATTACTGATTACAGCTAAAGTTTTGGCCTTTGTGTTCCTCTTTTAAAAAACAATTCTGATATATCTTGCTACATTCTGAGTATCCTTCAGAGTAGTTCTGTTTCTGCTGGGGTGTCGGGATGGTCTTAAAACTTTCATAAGAGAGGTGTTGGGGAATCAACAGCCTTCATCTTGCTCATTGCAGGGGGCAGTTGCCAGATTTCATATGATTTTTCCTGGGGGACAGGGAAGGATAATTTATCAGATTTTCCTATTGAGGTCAGTAGCACTGTTCATCTGGTTAAGCCCTTACTTAGGTTGTAAGCTCCTAAGAGGTCTTCCTTGCCTTTAGAGGTTGAATGTACCTGTGGGAGTACTGAAGAGTAACTGTGGCAGGCCTTGTCTTGGTAAGCCATACTTCCTGCCATGCAACTTTCTGGAAGTGCCAAGAGACTCAAGTTCTTGCAGCTGCCCTGTCTTTCCTGTTTCTAGGTTAGAATCCGTTTGCAGGTCAGTCAGACTCAACCAAATTTGATTCTCCTGAGATAGTAGACAAGCTAAATGAATCATATAACTTGTTACTTCAGGGTATTTATCAAAATCTGTCTTCAGACTTCAGTAGCTTGATACAGATTTGAATATCTGCAGCATTCTTAGATGAATGAACAAGCTGCGTTGGTTTGTCTCTTTTCCCCTAAGGCAGGTGCCTTATAACTCACACTGTACTCGCACAGTCCTCACAGTGAAGGACACAGCGCTTCAGGTGTGGATTGCTTGAGTAGAATGGAATAATAATGTGCCTTGATTTGGTAGCTGTGTTTCTACTAAGGTGGTCCAGTATGTGATTATTGCTTCAAAGATACTCAAGTCATATTTCACTCCTTGTCCACCAGGGCTTCCCAGTCTTTTTCCAGGTTTGTCCTCTCTCCTTGTCATTGCGGGAGACTTCAATTTCCTAGACATCAACCGGGAATGCCATACAACTGTGACAAGCAAGTCTGGGAAATTCCTGAAGTATGTTGAAGATAATTTCTTGTCACGAGTACTCGGTGAGCCAACTAGGAAAGATGCTCTGCTAGACTTGTTGTTTGTGAATCGAGAAGGACTTGTGGGAGATGTGATGGTAGATGGCTTGGCCACAGGGATCACACTGAACTCAGTTGAGTTTAAAATTCTTGATGTAATGAGAAAGTTGCTACTCTGGATTAAGAGAGCTAACTTTTAGCTACTCAGCGGGCTAATTAGCAGTGTCCCTAGGGAATCTGCTTTTGAGGGCTTAGGGGCCCATGAGTGCTGGTCAGTTTTTAAGAACCGCCTTTTAACAGGATGTGAGCAGGCAATCCCTTTGTGTTGAAAGTCAAGCAGGTGGCACGGAAGACCAGTTTGGCTGAACAGGGAACTCCTCTTGGAACTCAAGAGGAAAAAGAAATTGTATGTTCTCTGGAAGCAAAGTCAGGTTTTGCAGGAAGATTACAGAGCTGTGGTTCGCATATGCAGGAAGAAGACCCAAAAGGCCAAAGCTTAATTAGAGTTGAAACTGGCTGGTGTTGTGTCAGACAACAGAAAAGGTGTTTTGAAGTACATTAATAGCAAGAGGAAATCTAAGGAAAGCATTGGACCAATACTTGTTGAAGATGCTCACCTGACAAATCAGGATGAAGAAAAAGCGGAGGCATTCAGTGGGTTTTTTTGCCTCAGTCTCTAATACTACTGACAGACCTTGGGCTGCCCAGTCCTCTGAATTGGAGGACCATAACTGCAGGAACAGTGAATTTCCATTTGTGGACACTGAAATTGTAAGTTGAATGTTCCTAAGTCCATGAAGATTTGTCCCAGTGCACTGAAGGAGCTAATGGATGTTACATCAGGACCCCTCTCGATCATCTACCAAAGGTCTTGGGAGTCCTAGGAGGTCTCTGCTGACTTGAAGCTGGCCAGTGTTATTCCATTTTACAAGAAGGGCATGAGGGAAGTCCCAAGAAACTACAGACCTGTTTAGACTAATCTCAGTACCTGGAAAACTTACAGAAAAGGTCGTACTGGGTGCTGCTGAAAGGCATTTAAAGGACAATGCAATCATCAGGCACAGTCAACATGGGGTCACAAAGGAAATTTCTGTTTAACTAATTTGATACCCTTCTATGATAAGGTCATCTGCCTTGGGGATGAAGGGTGGATGTAGTTTTTCTGGACTTTAGTAAGGTTTTTGATACTGTCCCTCACAGCATCCTTCTGGACAAGTTGTCCAACTGTGAGATAAGCAGGTACACAGTGTGCTGGCTGAAGAACTGGCAGCACTCCAGGGGTTGTCGTGAATGGGGGTACATCTGGCTGGCAACTGGTCATCAGCAGGGTTCAATTCTAGGGACAGTCCCGTTGAATGTTTGTATCAATGATTTGGATACAGGAGTTAAATGCACCGTTAGCCAGTTTGCTGATGATACTGAACTGGGAGGTGCTGTTGACCCTCTCAGAGGACAAGAGGCCTTGCAGAGGGATCTAGATAGGCTGGAGCATTAATGGGATGAAATTTAACAAGAACAAATGCTGGATTCTGCACCTGGGATGGAGTAATGCTGGACACAAGTATAAATTTGGAGAGGAGTGGCTGGAGATCAACCCTGCAGAAAGGGATCTGAGGGGCTAGTTGACAGTAGGCTCAATATGAGTCAGCAGTGAGCCCTGGCAGCCAAGAGAGCAACCCACATCCTGGGGGGCATCAAACCCAGTACAACCAGCCAGTCAAAAGAGGCGATTATCTCACTGTATTTAGTGTTGGTGAGGCCTCACCTTTAATATTGTGTGCAGTTCTGGGCCCCACAACTTAGAAAGGATCTTAAGATACTTGAATGTGTCCAGAGGAGGGCAACAAGGCTGGTGAAAGGTCTGGAAAGAATGTCCTATGGGGAGTGGCTAAGGAGTTGGGGTTTGTCTAGTTTGGAGAAAAGGAGGCTGAGGGGTGACCGCATTGCTCTCTACAGCTTCCTGAGAAGGAGGAGGGGAGAGGGAAGTGCATCAGCACGTTTCTCCCTGGTATCCAGTGGTTCAAAACTGTGTCAGGGGAGGTTCAGAGTTGGACAGTGTCCTTAATATATTTTAACTTTTGCTCAGCCCTGAAGTAGTCAGGCTGTAGGACTATTCTATTCTGTTCATTACCTTCATGAAGCTTCTGTCTTTTCATTCCTCCAATCTGTCAAGGTCCCTCTGGGTGGTACCCCCACCCTCCAGCATATCAGTGGCTCCGCTCCCTAACATGCCATTATTTTTGACCTTGTTGAGAGTATGTTCTGTCTGTTTCTACCAGTTCACTAATGATCACTGAACAGTATCCCAGTACTGTCTTCTGAGGCGTGCTCTTCATAATTGGCCATCACACAGATTTCAAACCATTGATCATTATTCTTTGGGCCTGACAGTTCAGCCAGTTTCTCACTGACCTTTCTTACTGGGTGGCATCCAGTCCGTAGTTCCCCCATTTGGTCAGAAGGATGCTATGAGAGACTACAATCGAAAGGCTTACTGAAGTCAGTGCAAACAGCATCCACTGCCCTCTGCATATCCACAGAGCCTGTCATTTCATCATAAAAGTCAGTCAGGTTCATAGGCATGGCCTTGTTTAATCTGGCTGCCTGTTCATAGTCACCTTGTTCGCAGGTTGCCTGGAAGTGGCTTCCAGAACTTGCTCCATAAGGCTACAAGAGGCCAAGGTTGGGCTGAGTAGCCTGCCATTTCCCAGATCCTCCTTCCTGCCTTTTTAGAAAGGTGAGATGATATGTACCCCTTTCTGTCACTGGGGACCTCATGTAATTGCCACAATTTTTCATAGGTGACAGAATCAGTCTTAAAATGACATCCTTTTGCAAACAGGACTTTATTTATGTATTTATTTATGTACAGGGAGAAGATGGACATTCAGTGAAAGAAATTGAGAGCTGGGAGGAGCACATTTAATAGTTGCTCTTTGCACATTTCCAGAAGTTCCAGTGAACTCTAGTGAGGTTTAATGCCCAGTTTGGCAGGTACTAGAGAACTATGACTTGAAAGAATGTAATTTCTGGCCTGATGGATTTATGAACTTAAGGTA